ACACGTGATTATGAAGGCCCCAAGGAATAACGCGCTCCTGGTGAAATTACTTTTTTAGAAAAAAAAAAAAAATGTTCTACTTATCTCGGACAAGAACCAAAAAAAGATACTTTTCTTTTTTTTTCCAAAAAATAAAATTTCACAGGCAGCGCAGTCTTCCGCATAGCCTCCATAATAACGTGTTGAATTTTTAGATAATTTGGGGCACCCAGTTTGGAGAGAAAGTTTTATAAATACTTTCACGTCCTGATATATCAGGTTGATTTAATATATTCGAACGGTTTCATTTTTCGAAAAATCAAATCTCACGAACATCACGTTCTTCCTCACGGCCTCCATAATCTCACGATGAAGTTTCAAATGATTCGGTGCCCCCAATTTGGAGAAAAGTCTTATAAATACTTTGACTATTTGGTATGTATATATGACACTTTCATATCACCTTAAGATTATTTCAATGTTCAGTACTTATTGCAATTGTTCTTTCCGCAGGGGGGGACGGTAGAAGAAGTGCGAGGGAAAATGACATCCGGACACGAAGGTTCATCAGGAGTTCCTGGAATGACAACTGTCCCAGGAATGTCCGTATTTTCGACGTTACGGTCACTCTACTAGCTGGTACGCGATACAAGGGCATACAAGTGCAATTACCGACGATTTAACGAGTGATGGACAGGCAAACGTCTTGGCACGCCGAGGGAACTAACCGGGAGTTTCTTCGAGTATTCCGGAGCATTTATCTACCAGCGGCTGTATGTGCGACGAGAGGAATCTAAAATAAACAGCGCACATTATCTAATCGGGTCTGAATCCGTCGTGCCTTTCAAAGTAACGAGGGACGAGCATCGGAGGTGCTCGAAGCGGCAATTGATCCATATTTCGGGAAATCTAGGCTGACCGAGAGCATTCCTCTTATAGCACATTCCACCGTGAACTACGTAAACACGTTAAGGTGAAGTGAAACACGCCGAGAAACTTGATCGACGGCGGTAAAAAACGTTTTCCTAAATACCTACGTGGCCGACGTTTCTTTTTACATTCACAGCTGTGTCGAATTATATTGAGTGCTGCACTAAATGGCATACTCCATCTGTCGTTTTCCCACAATAATTGTAAAGAAATCGAAATGAAACTCCAGAAATTCCCTGAGTTCATGGTTTCTGAGGCACTAATTGACTGCAGAACGACACCGTGCTAATTATATTGAGTGTTGCATTAAATGGCATGCTCCACCTGTCGTTTTCGTACGATAATTATAAAGAAATCAAAGTAAAACGCCAGAAATCCCTTGGATTCATGGTTTCTGAGGCCCTAATTGACTGCATAATGACACCGTGCGCCGCTTGTTTTTATATTCACAGCTGTGTCGAATTATATCGAGTGTTGTACTAAATGGCACACTCCATCTGCCGTTTTCGCACAATAATTATAAAGAAATCGAAGTAAAACTCCAGAAATCCCCTGGATTCATGCTTTCTGGGGCCCTAATTGACTGCAAAACGACACCCTGCGCCATCTGTGATTTCCGTGTCAACTAAATTTTCACTCTGAGACCTCGTATTCCTATCGTTTTAGCGTAGAAGCGCATAAAACACCTTTTTTTGCCTTTATCCCGTTTAAATGCAAGTTTCTCGATTACCAGAGTATTCTAAATTGTCGTATAATTGCCCTGACTCTTTCGTTTCTCATATTAGGGCATTCAATAATTGGATATCGATCGAAATATGAGAACTCGACGCCATTCCGGTTGTGGTCTGGGCACGGTAAAAATTTTTTTACAAAAATCCACATTTTAAAAGTGTTAGGATGAATTCCTAGGTGCTCACGAGTCGTGTGTCAAAGGTTCAGACAGTTCTATTGAATACCTTGAAAAAAAAAAAAGTGTCTTACTCGATTTGACTGATTTGAGGGGGATTCCGTTTCACCTTAACCAATGAATGGATCAGTTCTATAATTTCCAATAGAATTGTACCGCCAGCCTGTAGCGTGCACTCGAAATTTAAATACTGCTCAGAATTGTTCTCCCCAAGTAAAAATAACCAAGAAATATCCGGAGCAATTGAAAATAGCATCTGGCACCAGGGAAAGCTAAAATAAATAACCCGTGTTTAAAAATCCCATTTGGATGCGGCATACTTCTTAGTTAACGACAAACAACGGTGGGACGTGCCAAAGCGATTGATCCATATTTCGGAAAATTCAGGGTCACCGAGCATCTCTCTCGATGCATATTTCAACGTATTTTATGTGTTCGAGTTAAGGTGCAGTGAAAGACGTCGAGAAATTTGATCGACTCCGGTGAGAAGGATTCTTTTAAATACCTATGTATGAACTCCACAATCACATACTTTTTTGATTCGGTGCATTCAGCTTGGAGAAATGTTTTATCAATATTTTGACCTTATATATATAAGGTATGTATATATAAGATATTAGAGGGGCATTATATAACATACATATATATGTTATATGTTATATAATGACCCTCTAATATCACCTTAAGGTGATGTGAAAGTGGCATCGAAGAGGTTTTGTTTATAAAACATTTCTCCCAACTCGGTTTAACGAATAGTTTGAAACTTTACAACGTGAATAGGGAGACTATAAGGAAGGTCCTGAAACTCATGAAATTTCAATTCTTTTCAANAGAAAAATCTTCTTTATCGACGTCGATCAAGTTCCTCGACGTGTTATACTTCACCTTAAATGCTTTGCGTGGCAAAGTAAATGCTGCGTGCATGCCGTATAGGTTTTTCAAGTGCGGCCTGACTTATCGTTAGCGTTTCGTCTATTGGGTCACTCCTGCTTTGTGACAAGTACGACGAATTCAAATTAGCTTATCAGGTGTTGGCCATCTATGTCGGACAGCTTAATCGATAAATATTTAGGGAAAATTTGGGATGACGGAGAAGCAGCGAGCACTTCTCCCGTGCCACATTCCATCGAGAATGATCTAATCGAGTCGTGGGTCAAAGTAACTACGAAAATTTGTCAATCGGGAAATCTAGGGTGACCTAGGGGCCTCTAGCATTTCTCTCGTTGCACATTCCAACAAGAGAGCAGCTCTCGGCTGCAATCTCCGGATCCATCTCGGGCCGCGCGTGAAAGCGCGGGGAAGTAAAGTTTAATGTGATAATTAGCGAATTCCAGGCTGGAAATAAACGAGGCGAAATATTCTACGATCTCCGATTAATCCAACTCTGGCCGGAATGCCTGATGGATTTAGGTGGAGGCTCGTTCTTGAGAACAATACAATAACCACAGTCTACGTCAGGGTTGGGTAATTCTGCGTTTTTTCAGGCTTTTCACGTATATTACGTAAACTATCTAGTTTACCGGAGAAAATCGTAGGAAACAAGTAAATTACGCTTCCAATATGAAGGATGTCGCAGATGCGTGATATATGACATCCGCTAGATTATAAACGTCTTTTAGTACACATGTAAACACGTAAATGTTTGGGTGGAATAATAAATTAATTTCGCACTTGCATTCAAAATTCTTTAGAATTTTACGCTTCCAACATGGCGGATGCCGCAGATGAACGATCCGCTAGGTTGTAAACGTCTTTTACCGTATAATTAAATGCGTCAATATTTTTAAAGACTAAGTAATTTGACGCTTGCATTCAACATTCTTTCGACTTAACCCTATTTAATATCGAATTTCTAATTGGATTTAATATTTTCTATTTAGAAATAAAAGGGCGTGATATACTTTGCGCTCATATAGAAAACTGAAGACGTATAATACGTTGCAATATACGCGTAGAAAACCTCTTATATTACATGACGTATTATATGTTGCAATATACACGTAGAAAACCTCTTATATTACATGACGTATTATACGTTGTAATATACGCGTAGAAAACCACGTATGTTACATGATGTATTACACTTACCCAACCCTGATCTACGTAAACGCGACTGATGCATCGAGAGCATTGTCGCTCTCGTTTACAAATAAATCCCGAGGAATTTCTACTCATTTATTACAGCAGACCCCAAAACGTCCCCATCTCGACTAAATCGACTTAATTGTTTGACCGGAGTTTCTGAAAATTAAACCTCGAAGGAATAATTTCAAAATCACCAGACCATCCTACTTTTATTTTATTTACTACTATTTTATTATTATTAAACTTCATCTTATAATTTATACGCACATACGACGTATTCTTTTTTTTTTGTATTCAAGACATTGGGTTATTTGAGGCGTTATGACAGTGTCATATATATACAGCAAAGAGTTAGAACATTTATAAATATTTCCTTCAAATTGGGGGCACCGAATCATTTGAAACTTTATCGCGAGATTATCGAGGCCCTAAGGAAGCTCGTGAAATTTCATGTTTCGAAAAAAAAATAAATGTATATTTATCTCGGACAAAAATAAAAAATGGACATTTCTTGTCGAAAAATGGAATTTCACGAACATCGCGATCTTCCTTAGGGCCCCCATAATTACGTGTTAAAGTTTCAGATAATTCGGTGCACCCAGTTTGAAGAAAAGCTTTATAAATATTTTGACGTTTTGATATATGTGGGTGTATATATATGTATATATATAACATACATATATATGTTATATGTTATATACACATCACAAAACATTATATATATATATATAATGTCACAAAACACATTTTATATATATATATATATATATATATAAAATAAAAAATATATATATAATGACCCTTTCATATCACCTTAAAACGTTACATTACCGAGTACTCGGTTATTCAAGAACAAAAAAAAATAAGGGAAGAAAAGCGCGTAACGCTCTCGCCATCCATTTTCTATTATCGCGTTCTCCCGCAATCGACATAATTCCCGATTATTCTTCCAGCGTGGATATGCTGGGTAAAAGAAAAAAGAAAGAAAGAAAAATGAAGAAGGCGTTCGAGAACAACGGCGAGGACGAGCAGTTCGCCGTAAAAGGCGGGAGTAAAAATACGCGTCGGAAAGGAGATATGTAAAAATGCGAGCACTGACCTTGCACCATGGTGGCTGCCCTAGAGAGGACGTCCAAGGCACTCTCGACGGCCGACATCCTCCTACGCGATTCCCTCCTGCCGCGGGAGTATCCTTGGCCGTTCCGCTCCCCTCGCCGCTCCTCCTCCTCGGCGCCCTTCGTCCCCTCCTTATCGTACGCGCAGCCCTTCCGGAAGGCCGCGCGCGTCCAGGAAAACCGAGCCCTGCAAAAGGAGAGCCGGCTTTAACTGTTTGGGCTCCCTCGCGGCCCCGGCGGCAGATAAAGTGAAACGAGGATTAAAAAACGTGACATTGTCTGTGGAATGCGGACCCCTCGCCGGGCGCTCCCCCCGCCGCTGCGCGCGCCCTCCTTCGCCACGCGGCCGCCGCGCGTCGCTCGCGTCGCCCCGCGCCGCCGCGCGGCCGAGAGCTCCGACTTCGCAGTTTCATCATAATAATATATAAACAACGACTACGCCTCCTTCCGACACTCGAGCGAGCCTCGCGCCACCTCGCCGAAAAATCTCGAGAGGGAGATGATCTGGAGTGCCCCGCATATCGCGGTGGCGACAATCAGGGTTGGATAATTCTCCATTTTCTTTCGAGGTTTTTCACGTATATTGCGTAAAGTAGTTTACCCGAGAAAATCGTGGATAACCAGTGAATTACGTTTCCAATATGAAGAATGCCGTAGATGGACGATATACAGCATCGGCTAGGTTATAAACGTCTTTTAGCACATACGTAAACGCGGGAATGTTTTGAGGAACAAGGAATTAATTTGGCGCTTGTATTCAAAATGGCGGATACCGCAGATGTAGAATATATGTATTCGCAAGGTTAACGTCTTTCAGCATACGTGTAAATATGTACAAAATTGTTAAAGAATGATTAGTCTGGCGCTTGTGTTTAAAATTCTTTCAATTTAACCCTGTTTAATGTATAATTTCTCCCTAGATTTATTATTTTATATTTAGAAATAGAAGGGCGCAATATACTTCACGCTCGCGTAGAAAACTAGAGACGTATTATACGTTGTAATGCACACGCAGGAAACTACGTATATTACATGACGTATTATACTTACCGAACCCTGGTCGCGACCCAAATAACGCTCCTGGAACTTATGAATGTTTTACGAATATTCACGTATAATATTTCGTTGCTCCGAGAATATCATGCAAATATTTAAGATATACAGTGAATATTCATGGAACGCAAAATGTCCGCCCGATGGACAATCATATAATATCCACAGAAATAATTGTTAAGATATTCAAAAAATATTGTCTTATGCGAGTCCATGCTAAAACGAATTTTGTTGGCACTGAAATCACAGATGGCGCAGGATGGCACTAATGTGGAAAAATTGTAAATACGTTTATAAGTAAATTACCAAAAATGAAATTTCGTGGATACCAGGACCTTCCTTAGGGCCTCTGTATTAAAGTGGTGAAATTTCGAATGATTCGGTGCACTCAATGCGCGTTGAAAAGTTTTATAAACGAGATTCTTTAGACGCCACTTTCATGTCACCTTAATAGGGACTTCCTTAATTCGGGTGTTAATGACTTCTTTCTTGAAGTACCGCATTAGAAACATTCGCGAATCGCTTTAAAATTCCCGGATCGAATAAGATAAAGTTGGAGAGAGGGGCAGAATGCCACTGTTTTTGAATATTCCCGCGCAAAGATAAGAACTGGGAGGATCAGGTATGGCGGCCGCGCGTATGCCACGATTAGGAGGAATGTAAGGAATTAGAATTTTTCTTCCCTTCGGGAACATTCGGTGCAAGATGTATGTACTTTATAAGTACCGAAGAACTTTCAGATTCCGCGAGAAAATCTTCAAACGCTCCCGCGCACACGCGCACGAAAGGTGGAGAGGACAAGAATTCAATATGGCGACTCATCCGAAGTCACACCTACGCGGAAGGACGGAGACAGCCGATCGAATCGTAAATTCTGAACTCTCCGAAGATTCGAGTGCCTTATAAGACAGGAGAAACGTCACCCTGTGAAACCGTGTTCTATTTCACAAACATTCGGGATATTCCGAAGATTCCAAACGATAATCATTAAGTGCATTCAGAAGAGACAACTGTTGAGTGATCGGTTAGCGCTCATCTGCTGAATGGGTACGTTCACTAAATATGTTTACTGATCAAACGCCATTTTATGTATCACACATTTTCTACGCTACCTACGCTCAACGTGTTGGGTAGATCAAATTCAAATTCAAACCGTGTAGATTCAAGTTAAAGAAGCAAGGATGGCAAATGAAGTCAATGATTACAGTGAAATGTATGAAGTAAACAGTCTTCAGTACGATGCAGTAGAGAGTGCAGAGTGCATAAAATGTTACAAAATGGTACGTTATTTCGAAATGTATACTTAACCTTAATCTAATGTATTCTATCTTCCTAATATAGACCAAAAAACTAATAATAAATAAATAATTAAGTTATTATGAACATGTGAGTGTTTTTTTTCAGACGTAACATTCTGTTACGAATATTTTTCTAAAAATATATCATCTAGAGAAGTTGTTGGTGTATGTAACGAAAAGGTGCAAAATCCTTCAGGTAATGAAGTAGCTGAAATAATACACGACGTACATGTACTGTAAGCACTGACTGCTAATATATTTAATATAAATAGCACGTAATTATTCCACGGGAATGGTCTAGGTAGTTGTATTATTTCTATCACTTCTCTCTTGGGGCAAATATGCTCGGGGGTAGTTTTTGGGTGAAAGAGGTGGCAGTCCGAACTTGGTTCCATCATATATCTGGAGCACTTAAATAGCACCTAATTTCTGCATGAAAACGGTCTATGTTATTGTATTATTTCAACGACTTCTCTCCTGGGGTAAACGTATTGGGGGGTAGTTTTTGGATGAAAGGGGAGGCAGTTCGGACTTGGTTTCATCATATATCTCGGGCACTTAAATAGCACCTAATTATTGCGCGGAAAGTCTATGTAGTTGTATTATTTCTACCACTTCTCTCTTGGGGTAAATATGCTCAGGGGTAGTTTTTGGGTGAAAGGGGTGGCATTTCGGACTCGCCCGTGGGATATTTTTGGAGCACTTAAATACCACTTAATTCCGGCACTGCTTTTTTTTTTTAAACTCCTTCTATAAGGAAATATACTCTGTGGTGATGCTGAGTGTACGTTCACTCATCACCACCACCGATTTTTGGGGTATGGGGTGGAGTACTAAAATTGGGGTTGTAGTACTAAAATAGCACCCAATAAGCACATAATTTTCCAATAGGATTCATATCATTTTTCTAATATGGTGTTGCCTCCTGTGCATACATGGTTACGTTCACCGAGTGTACCCTGGTGGACATGAATGCCTTCCCATCATGCATCGGCGATGCCATATCTACAGGGAAGGCATTCATGTCCGCCACTGTACCGGGAAGTCTCTCGAGTTCGGATCCCGGTTACACCGAAGAGAGAATTTTCTGTTTCTAAGGTAAGTTCTACGTGATAAGCCTTCCCGTCGAGTCCAAAGGCAGACCCGGGGCGAAACGCAAAAACCGTGGGGAAAAAAAAAACATTTCCCAAACCCACGATTGAACGTTCGAATCCCCTCTAAGAAGCGAGGACGACGATCCAAGATGGCGGCTTACTGCACACATCGCATCGTGGATCAATGGTCGTCTCCCTCCTGGAAAAATTCGAAGATTCTCCCGAAACGCGGATTCGCAGTTACGGCAAGAGGAAGTCCTCGGGGAAAGTCGCGCGGTAGAATTTTCTCACGGACGCGGAGATGCGGGGAAAGGAGGCGAAAAGCAAACCGAAAGCGGCCACTCTCGTTCCGGTAGTTGGTCTGGTTCCGTTTAAATTAATCGACTCCTAAGCTCCCCGAGAAATTCCGGCATTCCTCCGAAATCCGAGACCAGACCGGGAGACGCGTCGGAGAGAAAGCCTCGCGATGGAATTTTCTAATACTTCTTATAATAATTCCTCCTCCTTCTCCTTCTCGCTCCAGCTCTTTCTCTCTCTCCTTTTCCCTCCCGTGCGCAGGAGGGGCACGGGAGGGAAAAGGAGAGAGAGAAAGAGAGCTTGAGCGAGAATGAGAAAGAGAAAGAATTCTTGGTGGCGATTCAGCCGGCAGTCACCGCCCACGCGTTCAAGAAACAGAGGAATCTGCCTAAACCGGTGGAGTACAAATCCGGAGAATTCTTCTCCCCCGTTTCCCCTCTATCCTTCCTTCTTGGATTTGAAGAAAAATCTCCGCCTCTTTGTCATTTCAAATGCCCCGAGAGGTTCTTAAATACTCTTTGTTTAAACACGTGTTCCAGTCAATCCTTCTCAACGATGCTTCGAATCATCCACCTAATTTTCTGCACAATCATGTGCGGACAATGTCATGTCATTGTACACTGTATTACAAATATTTCTATTAAAAATATGAATTGAACGTCCAAATCGCGACTCGTTGAACTCGTCTTTTTTTTTCCCTCCTTTTTGCTATGGCACCCCGAGAAAAAGATTTCTTATTTAAGGTGAAGTGAAACACGTCGAGGAACTTGATCGACGTCGATAAATAAGATTTTTCTAAATGCCTACGTTGCCGACGTTCGTTTTTATATTGACAGCTGGGTCGAATTATATTGAGTATTGTACCAAATGGCATACTCCACCTGTCGTTTTCGTATAATAATTATAAAGAAGTCGAAGTAAAACTCCAGAAATCTTCTGGATTCATACTTTCTGGGGCCCTAATTGACTGCAGAGGGACCCCCTGCGCCATCTGTGATTTCCAGGTCAATTAAATTTTCACTCCGAGACCTCGTATTGCCATCGTTTTGGTATAGAAGAAACCTCTTCGATGCCACTTTCACATCACTTTAACAATACAATACAATTCGTCCAGCGGAAAACTGAACCTATATATGAAATTATAAGTGAAGAAATAAAGTTACGAAAAAATATATATCTAAAGAACTGAATTTATTAAAACAAAGAGTTCGTAATTTCTATAACGGATGTTCCACCGGTCTCACGCAACGATATCAAAGGATAAAAGATACCGAAAAGGAGTTTTTGACGACCCATTTTGTACGTGATAAAGGGAAATGAATGTCCACACAAATGTTCCTCGATAAGGAATTTCAAAATACTTTCCTAGAATACCGTGATCGACGATCGTCCCGAGGAATTCCTAAATGTGTACACTTTCGCGACAGAGGAAATAAACGAAGACG